CCCCCCCATCCACTGAAGCCCATCCACCACCCACCTACTGCCGCCACTTCCCTACTTGCAGGGCTGGGGTCAGGGCCATCCCACAGCTGAGGCTGGAAGCACAGCACGCATTGCTCCTGTGGGAGTGAGCGGACTGTATTTTGCTTGCCCTGGACCTAGACACTAGCTTTCCATCTGTAAAACAAGAATAATAGCACTTCTCTACCGCATGATGTTTTGTGAGAATAAGCACTTGAAAGATTCACAGGTGTTCAGATACCATGGTGATTGGGACCAAATACAGGCCTTGTAAAGACTTCCAAGATTCCCAAGTTACTGGATAAGTTATCTGTTGTTGTGGTTAAGGTCTAAAGTGTTAAATGAAGGTAGATACCCTTTTGTTGCCAAATATTTGAACAGAATAATGAGAAATAATTAACTATAATATTCTTGGATATTTATTCTGTACTAAATTATCAGAAAGAAGTAATCATTCAGCTCCTGTTAAGCAGGATATTCCTTCCTTATTTCTTAAGCAGAAATGTTGCTTACAGCTCAAAAGAAAAGAAAGAGACTTCTTCCTTTTGTGGCCAGGACACAGAAATGGAATGAAATGAACTGATGGGATGAGTCAGACACATATGGAGAAGGCAATCTGTTCCACCCTAGTAGGAGGTAAAGGTTTTGCTCTCCTAACCCAAGGGGATCAGCAGCAGACAAAGTGCTTCAGAGACAGCACCCTTTCTAGATCTGTATGTCTTCACACTGCCTCCTGTGCAGGTCTGTGGATTAAACACTCCTGTGGAGAAGAACCTTTTAGGTTGTAAAACAACACCAGCATAAGATCAAATGACTGCAAACTGGCTGCAGGTAAACTGAATTTGAAATTAGAAGATGAAGTCTATCAGAGGAGTGAGATTTTAGAATGGTCTTTCCAGAAAAGTCATAAAGGAAAAAACTTGAATTGCTTGAAGATTGAATTGCAAAGTTTATGAATGGGAAGGTATGATAAGACGGGAGGTTTTGCTTAATACTTAGTGGGTGTGTCTACACAATATGCTTTACTGCATATTAGGTTAATCTAATGTGCAGTAAGGTGTCAGCATCTACGTCTGTCTGGGACTTACTGTGCAGTAAATTAAGCTAATGCTCCATTTGCTAGTACCAACAAATACAGGTACTAGATTAATGGTCAGCCTAGGCAGCAGGGGGCCACAGGAGGCAGGAGGGGAGCTGTCTGTGGCTGTGGCATGCTCAGCTCCTGGCTTCTCTTAGGAGCTAGGAGCTGATCAGTGCCAGGACTGGGGATGGTGCATTAGCCTAATTTACTGTGCAATAAGTCCCGCATATGTGTAGTCACTGATGCTTTACTGTGCATTAAATCAGTGTAATGTGCAGTAAAGCATCACCCCGTGAGAGTTACAGACTTGCTTCCACACTATTGTTGCATACCAAACATCTTTAGGGGAAGTCACAGTGAATATGTTGGGTCAAAACCTGTTAATTGCTGATCCAGTAAGCAGTCCCTTTGTACCCGGTTGTCCTGTTGAGATCTTTTTAGTGCTGTCCCTCCTGCCATTGTCCCTCCTTATATCCCACTATCTCCTATCACCTCACATCCTCACTTCTCAAGATGATTCTTAACACAGGAAGCAACTGGAGATCTGGCATGGAGATCTGGCAAGTAGAGATGCTGAGAATCAACAGTATTATTGCTTGGGTTGAGAAAAAGAGATAAATGTTTAACTCAAAACCTAAGCCAGGAAGAACTAACAGAACACCTGTTACCATTCCTAAGCACTTAGATCTTGGTGAGATTTCATATGAAAGTTCATGAGTAGTCCTACCAGATTATATAGCTGTCTGGTAAGCATTTTTGTGATTTTGGTCCATTCATTCTCCTAGTATGCGTAGTAAGGAAGACAAGTAATGTGCAAGTTAAAAGGTTAAGGCAAGAGAATGGGAAATTCAATATAAAAGGATGATACTATGTGAATTGCTTCAATATAAGGACACATATTCCTGTATAGGAAATTTGCCTTCTAATAAAAAATAAATACCATTATGTGTGTATATGTAACCACAGGTTATTTGTAGTTACCATAAAGGGATTACATTTGGGGTAAATTTTCAATATTGTATTAAATAATCTTGTAAGAACCCTGGGACTAATAAAAATAGGTTTCTACAACTGGAAAAAAAAAACAAAGAAAAAGTATTTGGGACATAAATATTTCCCTGCAGTATGTGAAAGTCAAATATTGTACTATTAAGAATGTAAATGTGAAGTTGGCTATAAACAAAAGGAAAACTGGCTTAATTTTTCATTGTCACAGTTCAGGAAAACTACAAGTAAACACGAAACATAAATAATGACAATTATATGAGACTTTCGGTATTTTTCTTTTTAGGTAAACTAAGGCATAATTACTGTTCTGATGTATAACTTCTATTTATATCAAAGGCTGCCTAATGCAAATTAAAATCTGTATGTGCACATTTTCATTTAACTATTTTTATTAATATATACACTGGGCCTGATCCTTTATAGTCAATACCAGTCTCTATGATAATTGGAATAGGTGCTGAAAGGTCTCAGTATTGATCCAGAAATGCACTCAGTATTTCTGATTTGAATGAGGGCACTCAGCATCTTGCAAGGTTAGACCACATAGGTGATTAGGATTTAGGATTTTTTCATTTCTGGTCAGACTCTTCCTCAATATACAAACAAGACATGAACCCCTATATTTTCAAGTACAAAATCATTTTTCTCGTTCCTATTAAGGACCCTGTTTTTCAAACACTTCTACACATGGGTAACTTTATTCACATGAATAGGTTCATAAGAACCACTTTACTGGCAATGAGATCTTGGACTGATCCTTCTGTTCAGATATGCATTCTTTGATGAGTGGGTTTGATAAATTTTACCCAATATGAATAAAGTTCACCTTTATGGGAAAGAAGTCAAGCAAAAACAACCCTTGGAAGAATATGTAAATAATGTATTGTATGTGTAGAAATGTGTGTTACATCAATTAACAATATACATCAAAATACTTTCTAAATATAAATTTGCACAGTGGATTCCTTTTTAGAGTAGAAATGTCTTTTCTGAAGTTCCAATAAGGGATCTTCTTACAATACAACTATGAAACGTATATATATTTTTTTTTCCAAAAGGATTTCTTGCACTGTCTAATATAACCTGATTTGAGAAGGAGTTTACCAAAAGGTAGCCTTTTTCACTTAATCTTTTCTACAAATTAATGTTCTTGGGAGTGGACATTGTTGACATAGGGAAATACGTCCTGTTCTTCCTCTGTTTTTTTGTGGAACAGAAATGTTCCTCTTCAATATCAATGTTTGCTTGTGTTTGTCTTCCACTGAACCCCCACAAAGTTAAATTTGCTAACAGAAGGAAGCTTGCTCTGACAGTTAATCTCAATATGTATCAAAAGCTGAGCCCATTGTGCTGGATATTTTCCCCTGTGTTTTGTAGAACACAGTAACATTTGTTGACTTGTTGGATATATATAAAATATATGAAAGTTTGGAATAGGAGAGAGACAATATATATTCTGGCTTTTAAGAAAGGAATATAACCAAACAATGATGACATTAAGACTGGTAGATTGCTTGATGTGTGCTGTTTATCAACCCTGATTTATGGGTGTCTTTATAGATTATCTTGTGAATTAACTCCTTGTACAATAAGAAAACAGTATGACTCTATCCCATGTTACCACAGTCCTTCCAAAAAGTTTTATAAATTCATAATTCTGTGGTGGTGTCATAACCTGATTATGATACCTGTTGTTTTTGTAAAACAACCCAGGCATACAAAACAAGTGTAAAATTGCTTCTTCAGAGAAACTTAAATTTTCCCCAGTTCTTCATCCTATGAATGTCATTGCTGTGTCATTATTGTCCTAGGAAGGTGACAGATTTCCCTGCAACACAAACCACCTTCTCTGTAGTCTAAAATGGCTTTAAAATCTACCCCAGAGTTTGATTCTTGTACATGGCATGCTGCCAGCTCTCAACTGTTTGTTGTTGGCTACTTGCGGTATATTGAAGTTTGCAGGAAAGTATCAAAAATTGTATTTTTAAAATGTTGGTTCATAGGCTGTTTTCAAAATATCAGGATCATGATATTTGTTTGGGACACTGGAATTAGCAGTGTTCCAACCCTAAAGCCCTTACTGACCTTAGACTGACTATCATAGGTGCTGACTTTTATTTTTGCCAGGGTAGCAGGAGTGGCGTGTGACACATAGGATGGACATGTGAAATGTTTTATGAATTTCAGGTGACAGCCCTCTTCCTGAGGATGGCCAGGGCCCTTGGGGCCCCCACCTACTCAGCACCTCTGCTGATTATTCAGTCCTTACTTTAGCAAAATCTTATTAAAACTAATGGGAGTTTTCCTCAACAATATGAGGACCTCAAGATTTAGTCCATCATATGCAAATAAACCAAATGACAGCCAAACAGAAGAAATTACTATCATATGTGTGAAACTTTGCAGATAATTCATGACCAACGACATTTCTAGGATTCTTGAATTCCTGTATTTCCAGAGCTGCACTGAGGCCCATAGAATCTACACCATTCAGCACACATTTATGCCATTTACCTTTCTTCTGTTTTTATTGAAATCCATCTCTGAAAATGTGTGCATACTTTGTGACATGTTTTGTTTTTGTTTTGTTTTCTCCACACAAATGCAGTCACCTAATGCTGGGAACAAGGATGACCAAACACTGACGGTAAGCAGCAATTAGTTCATCTGTGTCTGGCATTTATTTTTAGAAGGTGTGGGTGAGACGAATCATACTTTGCTTTGGTACACTTCAGCATTTTAATAAGCTAGTGGGTTTCCTCCCTCCCATATGTTGCTATACATTTAAAATAATTACATTCCAATGTTAGAATGACAGATTCATTCTGGAATTCAGTGTCTATCATTTTTATTTGCTTTTTAATTAGGTACCAGGGATTCATGTATGTGCACTAGAAATAGTTTCATCAAAACCAAAATATTTCCTCCAGGCTTTTTCTTTTTTCTTTTTTAGTTTTGTTGGCTTATTTGCCTTGCAAATTGTTGATCCTGTTGTTTGTTTGTTTTTAAATCCAAAGGAGCCACTATTTTTTGATCAATGCCATCCCTGAATTGTATTGTGTAAGAACTTTACAGATGCATTCTGCAGACGCTAATATATTATAGTATATATTTAAAGGCACAGGCAGAAGAACATTGCCTATATGTTTATAACCCCATTAAAATATGTAAAACAAACTTTGTACATAAGTTCCATGTATGTGTGCATGTATATTTTTAATCTCACTGACCACCTGTTGTTTTAACCTTGTTTTCCAGGTGTGCTGGAAAGCCATAGACAGAGAGGCATATGTTGTTTTTCCAACTAAGCTATGACTGTTAAGATATGGCCGCTTAGGTCACTTTATGCTTGTTTTCTCTATCACTTTCATGATTTCTGTAAGTTGGTAATGGAATACAATTTTTTAAAATGAGGAGATGGCATACCTGAGGGACCCAACTATATGGTTCTACAAAAAAGATAAGCCTGAATTCTTTCTGATGCAGAAAAGTTAAATAATGAAAATATATGGGATGAGGAAACTATTTCCACAGTTCTGCTTATGAGTCCTGGTGGCTGATGAATAGATATAGTGATGCTTTGTGATGAAAAGGGCTATACTGATAATACTGTTTAATACAATGTGTTGAGTTATATAGGAAACATTTTCATTGGCAAGGTGGCTACAGCTCACAAGGCATGTCTATGCTGCAGACTTACCACATCAGGGAGTAGTGTCTTCAATCATGCTGCCTTTCTCTACAAACACTACCTCTCTACCAAGAAGCAAAGTAGCCAGTGTAACTGGATCCATTCTTACTAAAAGACTTAATTCCTTTCCTTTTTCTTTCTACATTCAGACCAAGCCACGGCTTCAGCGAGGTGGGAGCTCTGCATCTCTCCACAATAGCTTGATGAGGAACAGCATCTTTCAACTTATGATTCACACGCTTGATCCCCTGGCTGAAGGTATCCCTATAATTTCATCCTCAGTTGCATTTTCTTTCTTTTCCCTTGCAAAAAAAGGTGGTTTACTATATAAATTACTTTCACAGTTCAGTTTCTTTTTGTTCTTTGCACTCCACTTACAGTGTTATGTACAGTCTCACTAAGACTTGTGACTTTGAGTACTAAATAATAAGGACTATCTGGTTGATACGTCATAGATGTTAACTGTCTCTCTACTTCTGCCTTAAATAGAGTTCATTATGAGCAGAGATGTAAAAAATCAAATTTTCTACTTCATTTTTTGAGTGTTTTTTCCATTTTTATGTCCTAGGCTTGACATCAGTGTAGCTACAGAGGTTACAGATTTGTATATATGAAGCATAGGCAGTGTTGGAATAACGAAGTCTTGACTTTGGCTGGATATACAAAGAGCTCAGTATAATCTCTGCACTTTTGCAATTCTCTAGAACTGGATTGTCCAACTTCTAAGTAGCTGGGGGGTGCACACCCCAACAGACTGCACCAACAGCGGCCATGGCCCCCCAGGCTCCACGTCATGCTCATGCACAGGCAGGCATCCCTGCTACCCCTCTGCACCATCCACATCAGTGGCCACCCCCACCCCCTGCCTCCCTTATGCAGCACAGTATCCTACCTCACCTGCAACTGCCTGCAGGCTTCCTCACAGCACCAGGCCATGTGGGTATTCTGGGGTGCTGGCTCACCCTGCACCATGAGCTGTGCCATGCTGTTATATCCCACACTTCGGGGCTGAGTTAGGCATCAGAAGCCAGGGGAGGAAGAGGAAATCCCAAGACACTGGCAACTGCAGGTAGAGCAAGGGTCAGCAGACACAAGTGGGAACCCAGAGGCCTCATGTTAACTCCTCACAGGCCACATGCAGCCTGTGGACTGCCAGTTGGACAGAACCTACTGTAGAGGAAAGACATAACTTTATATTTGGTTTGATCTAACTTTGAAGTCATGCTTGAGTAGAAGTTGGTATGCTCTCCAGCCCCTTGAAGCAGACCTAAAACATTCAGACCCAGGTATTTATTTGTGTAGCTTATGTTCCAATTATGTGGTTTGTCACTGGTGAGATAATCCATGTCTTCAGAAATCATGCTTGTGAAATGAGAAGGGAAGGATTTAAGTGGTCTTTTTAGGTGTTCCCCCCCACCTCAAGGCTTCTTTGCATCCAGGCACAAATTTTACTTGCAAATTGGAAATGTAAAATCTTTTTGGCTTTTAACTGGAATGCTTTGAAAGTCTAGCCATATTTAGTGTTTCCCTTAATACTGACACACTAGTTTAATTAAACCCCCCCCCAAACAAACCAACTCACCTGCACATGCAAAAAAGACTGTACGAATGCATATCCACATTTTTATGTGTGTGTATACACACACACACACATCTGTATCTGTATACACACACACATGTATATATGCGCCTGCCTGTGTGTACGTGTGTGTGTATGTGTGATACACACACACACTCACACACGTGCATATATACACACGCGCACGTGTGTGTGTGTGTGTGTGTGTGTATGCACACACCTGCAGTTGCCAGTGTCTTGGGATTGCCTTTTCCTTCCCTGGCTTCTGATGCCTAACTGTACACACACACACACACACACACACGTGCACGTGCACGTGCACGTGTGTATATATGTATGTGTGTGAGTGTGTGTGTATACACACCCACACACACAGAGGGAGGCTCATATATACATATACGTGTGTGGGTATGTATACACACACACACACACACACACACACACACACACACACTAGCCAATTGCTCAGACGGAGCCCTGTGCTCCAGCCCCCGATCTGGGCCTGCTTCCCATTTCCCCCCTGCTGCTTGTGGCAGCAGCGGGGGAAGGGGAGGAACAGGCCCGGGCCCAATGTAGGGGAGGACCAGGACCAAGGGTGGGGAGAAGCTGGACCGCCACAGCAGGGGGGAATAGCAGGCCCAGGCCGACCTGGTGACGGCGGGGGGACAGGAGGAGCGGGATCAGGGCCAACATGAGGGAGGAGAAGGTGGGGAGGAGTGGGCCCAGGCCCAAGGAGGGGAGGAGACCTGCTCCTCCCCACCCCCGCTGCTGCCATGTTGGGCCCCGCCAGGCCTGCTCCCTCCCCCATCACCCCGGCGGGTTGGCTTCTTCCCCCCACTGTCGGGCTTGCTCCCCTCCCACATCAGGCCTGCACCAAGGCCCATGCCTCCCCTCCCCCCCGCTGCTGCCGCAATGCGCCTGCTCCTCCCCTCACCTACACAGACCCACTCCCTTGCCCCCACCGCTGCCGTGTTGGTCTGCATTGGCCCTGCAGGCGGCGACAACAGAAGGTGGCTTAGCGCCCCCCCTCCATGCTGCCACCCTTGGGGAGCAGGGCAGGGGGGAGCAAGGCCTCACCCCCCGCTCTGTCCCCTGTGTGTGCTCCGCTGCACCACCACCCCCTGTCCAAAGACTTATTTGCACTCTGATTGGCTGTTTCAGTCAGCCCGTCAGAGCATGAATAAAGTGTTATGGCCAGACGGACAGACAGATTAAGGCTTTTATAATATTAAAAGATATACACGTGCATATACACACACACGCTCACCCTTTCTGCCAGGTACTGCATGGAAGTAACAAGGGCTGGGTTCAGATTAAACAGCTTAACACCAATTTTTTAAAATCTGGTGTTAAATTTGAACCAAATTTAAATCAAATTTAATCAAATGTAAATTGCGATTAAAATTTTTTAAAATTAAAAAAAAAATAAATCTGGCTTAAGCTCTGGCTCAAAAACCTGGGAAAGTAAATTTTGATTGGGTGTTCCTAAGTGAACACACTTCCCCACTTGGAAGCAATGTTCAACTAAAACAGATTTACTATGGGGGAAAAGGGAACTAACACACAACCCTAAAGAAAACTTTAACTATTCTGTTGAGCATTAACTGAAACCCCAAACAGTTAACAGTCTGAGTCATGGGCAAAACAACCTAATGCCAAACTAGGCTGGCCTGTTGGGAAAAGAGACTCGCCCAAACCTGCCATCCAGGGCTTTACCACCTATGCCAGCCCAAGTAGCAAGTGCTGGGTAGGGAAGCCCAGACTGGAGTTGCTGGCCATCCCTGGGGATTGCTGCCACACCTCTTCTGCTAGGGGTCGGCCACTGTTCCTCTACTGATCCTTTTCATGTTCCTTATGTGATCTCAGTTATTTGCTCATGCTCAGGGATTTCAGACCTTTTACCTATATAGTGAATATTGAAATTCTACATGACTCCACTGTAAGGACTTGCACACACACAAGTACTTTCCCTTTGAGGAGTTGATGGGCCAGAAGGCCATCCAGGGAATGACTCCTCTTTGGAAACTCCCCTGTCCCTCATAGACAGGGAGGGCTGTTTGAAACACAATCTGATCTACCTGCGATTTATAAATATGCACTTTAACCCTGAACAGTAAACCCCAGGCCCAAAAACATTAAAAAAAAAAAGGCATGAGTAACCTCCAAAACCTCTGAATGTGTGCACAAATGAAGGTATACAGGGAAAGAATACACAAAATGAACATTATAGAACATAACCGTAGCCAAGCATGTAGAACATAAGAAGGATTACATATCATTAGTGTGACTGAGTGCACTGGTTTCATGGTTAAGTAGATATCAAAATAGTCTTCTCATGTTCACCTATGATGATATGCTGGCTCAGTGGAAGTCAGTGGCAAACTCCTATAGCCTTCACCTGGGCCAGAGTTTTAATTCTGATTTCCTTAATACAGTCACTGGAATTGGTCATACCAGTATCTGGACATTTCTACATATACTTGTACATAAAACATGGATCTTCATTGCTTTATAAATGCATCCCGCTGCATTTGCTTGTGCCTGGGAGAAGCAAGTAAAAATATCTGTCCAATTTCATATTCCATTGCTTTGGCCTATGAAAGTCATGTCAACACTACTTCAGAGGCGTGTCAGGGTTGGCAGGCAGCTTCACTTCTTCCACACTCTAAGACAGTGGTGCACAACCTCTGGCCCATGTGACCATGTCACTCAGCCTGTGGTCTGTCATCCACAGGTCTGAAAATTTGGCAGCTCCCTCTGCTACCTAATCACCAGACCCATGAGGAGCTCCAGGGGAGTATGAAACAAGGAGCAACCACCTGTGTGCCAAGTGTTTTTGGCAAGATGTGGGAGGTCATTCTCAGTGCTTGTCTCTCTACTCTGGAATTTGCTTCCCCTTGAGCCCTGTCTAAGCCCATGGCTGAGTGTCTCTCAGAAAGGCTATAAAACTTTTGCATTTGGACAGGTGTTAAGCAAGTACGCTTAAACTGGGATATTGTTTACAGAGTTTTTGTTTTATATTGTATTCTACTATTCTACCTGCTTTTATAAATTATTTTGCTATCTTAATATAAGCTGTCATGACCCTTTATTGGGAAAGGTGGTGTATAAATCTATAAATAAAATAAATACGTGAATTTACTTTAGTTAGGCCAAAACTCTATGCAAAAATAATAAGCACACTTGTATACAACTCCTTGTTTCAGTATCTTCACTCTTGAGTGTTCTTTAGGCATAGATCAGAGGCCTATAAGGAGACCCTTTTCAATGCTGCATTTTCTCTGGGAAGGTAATCTCTGAACAGCCCTGTTAATGCTAGTCATAAAACAGAAAAAGAGGCAAACTGATTAGTTCTTCTTTAGATTTCAAAGTAAAAAAAAACAACCCCGCCTGAAATTCCAATTTCCCTCATGGAAGGAGGGTACCTGCATGGCGCAGTTTGAGGGTGGGAGCCAGGTTATAGGATGGCACGGCAGTATCTGCACAGCTCAGTGAGATACTGGCAGCACGGTCCGCAGCCCATACAGCCGACGGCCTCAGAGGCTGTGATGTGTACAGTTGAAGGCCCTGACTGAACAGCTCTGTTATAATAGGCATTTTGATTTAAAAATATATATATTGAAGATTTTTTTGTTTTGAAGCTATATTTCAAGTAGATGTATAAACAGTTTCATTTTTG